TGCTCCAATGCACGTCTAAAGTCTCATGTAATAAGGGGCAGGGTGGATTTGATTTAAATCAAACTGATTTAAATCACGATTTAAATCACTAGTCAGTAAGGCTTGATTTAAATCATAGTTTTCTACATAAAGACTAATTCTTGCTGGTATAACTTTAATATGCAAGTAGATGAAGATTTTTAGAATAACAACTTTTCATATTAGTTTTTTTATCCCCAGTTTAATAGGTTATTCATACATATTTGGACAACTTTTCTGTTGTACTTAGGAAGGAGAAAAATAATCATTACCTTATTAATAACAATTGAAATAGATTTATTCAACTGAAACAATAACATTACAGCATATGTTATTTGCTTAAACAAACATCCATGTTTCTTAACTAATTTGGCTAAACAAAATATATATATTTTAAGAAACTTAGACTGTCAGCCCCTTCCTCCTCACACTTAGTTTCACTTTCTTCTTGTGCAGATCTATTCCTCTCCAAACAATCAGAAAAATATTGTTTCTATTCTATTCACTGAACTTCTTGAAACTTAGCACTGAAGGGGTTGATTCTGTATTCATAGGTTTGTAGAAGTTAGGATTAAGGTCTTTTTCTTAACTCCTATTTATGTTATAACATTTTTGCTGTGAAGAAGAGACATGTGATCTCCGCTGAGTCAAATTCAGTTTTTGAAAACTGCAAAAGTAAACCAAGCATTTGTGATAATATCTTGTAGGCAGAGAAACTGCCCAATAATCTTACAAAAACCTCTGGAAGAGCATGACATTGTGAATGGATTAATGGAATTTATTTATCAAAAAAAATTAAACATATACAGCCTTATTCTACATAATTAAAAAACTAATCTTTATTTCATGATGGAATAACCTTTGGGTGGTAATATATTTTCCTCAAAAAGCATTTTATTTACAAAAATCCGATTTAAATAAAAAAAATCCGATTTTTTTTTTTTTTTGATTTTTTTTAAAAAAAATCATTGATTTTTATCCACCCTGATGAGGGGTGTAAGTTTCGGGTATTTTAGTGATGACGTTTGACTATGGCCATGCGTATCTGTTTAACGGGCAATATGCTATAAGGTAATGAGTGGGATCATTATCATATCAAACAAGAGGGACCCTCCCCACCCCCCCCGCTTAGTATTCTGTCCCTGACTAGTTAGAATTGTGCTAGACCAGGTGTGCCCAGCCATACATCCCAAATATTTGTAAATTTCCTCAGACAACGCCTATGATGAAAAACTAACTTCTCTCTAATAAGGGTGTCATTGACAGCCTTAATCCATGCCATATGAGAAGGGGGTTTTGGAGATAACCATATCTGGGCTATAAGTTTCTGAGCAATAAATAGTACTCCCGTTATATTGTAAAGCGCTGAGCAAACTGTTGGCACTATATAAATCCTGTATAATAATAATAATATTCGAAGAACTGCAATATATGTATGTGGAATATATAATTCCTTGTCTAACTCTCCCAATAAACAACTCTTATGCGGGCCATAGATGAGATGAAAAACGACCGAAAATCGGCCAGAAAAAAAAAATCGGCCAATTTTTGGATCGTTAGTGCGGTAATCGGTCGGCCGTTTTTTGTAATTTTTGACCTTTTAAATTATTGGTCCTGCTGGAAAATAATTGGTCAAATTTGTCGTTCTGCTGATTTTCAAGGCAATGATGGACAAATTTGCCGATCTTTTTCCGATATTTAAAAATGTGCATGAGCAGTGACATGAAAGAAGAAGGAAAAGAAGAAAAGGAAAAAAATAGAATATTAATGAGAAGAAGAAAGAAGAAAAATAATTTCAGTCCGATATTATATTTGACATTTAAAAGTATAGCAACATTGTATCCGAATAGAAACATCTGTATCCAAAATGGATACAAATAGATACAATGTTGCAACTTTTTTCCCCGCATATTCTATTTCTTCTTTTTATTCGTATTCTATTTCTTCTTCTTCATATTCTATTTCTTCTTCTTCTGCATATTCTATTTCTTCTTCTTCTGCATATATTCTATATAATTGCCAGCCGTAGACGGGACGAAAATCAGCCGACCTTTTTTTTACCAATAGTGGTAATGTCGACTGATTGAACGACCGATTTTTCGTTTTTAAAAAAAAAAGCAACCGGTTTTCTCTCATCTATGGCCTGCATTAGGTTCCAAAGGGAGCGTGAGATTCCAAATTCTATTGATCATTTCGACAATGGACTTCCAATACCTTGTTAATTTAGGGCACTTATTACATATGGAGGAGGTGCAGTTGTCAATTTCACACCTGGAACAAAAGAAAAGAGTGTCCCTCCCCTGCAAAGCATGTAGTCTTTGCAGAGTGCAGTGAATGATAAAAAGCTTGGTGATAGAGAAACCTTAAGTACATTAACTAGTATTGTGGACCATTCCTCATCACAAATAGTCCCCAAGTCAGCGGCCCATCGTGTTCTACAATTGAGGGACAATGCTTTAGAGACCTGTTTTATGAAGGACTTGACCCTTCCTAGAGAATGCGGTCGTACTTTGAGTGAAAACTGAGTGCTTAACAAGCAACCAAGTGGATATTTTGGAAGAAGGAGTGATTAGGCAGGCCATACTCAATCCGCAAAGATTGAAAGTCTTTCAGTAATTGGCGATGGTATAATTTAGGTATATAATTAATACCCATCGCTGATGAGTAAGCAGATCCTCGCAGTTTCAATAGTTCAGGATATCTAATCTGCACACTACTTTAAATCAGAACTTCATTAAAATATTTTAGGGCTACGTAGCAAATAAGACAGTTGAGACGATGAACGCACGGGTAAGGAGTATGTGCATAACACAGCTTACAAAGTGCAGTCCTCAGAGCTGTGTAATGTTACAGCTTATGGAGTGCAGCAGTCATGATTCTATAACATACAGCACAGCTTAAAAAGCAGTAGGGGGAATTCCCTGTTATATTTGGGTCAGTTGAAAATATGTTCCGTTACATACTTCATGTGCCACCCTGTTGGCACTGAAATTATACAGGTGCCAAGTTGTCGATGAATCCACCCAGGATGGTCTGTATGGCCCCCAGGTGTTGCTGAATAATTGCAGGTTCCTGGGCCTTACAGCAACCCTGGAGACTGGTTGAGGCCCACCAAAGGCTTCGAGCCCACTGGAAAATCCTCTGCTTTTCTGGCAAATTGGTCAGACTCTTCTGGCTCCCGAAGTTTTCTGCTCTGGGATTTATTTATGTGCTTTTTTGGTCTGATCCAATATATATAATCAAAAGCCATGTACAGAAATTGGAAAGAAGGAAAATATTGTTTACAATCACAGCACAATAATTTTTCACAGTGACTATTAATCAAGACCTAAATCACAGCTTTTGTTGTTGACAGATGCTGACATATGTTGCTTCATGTGGAAATATCTGTGTAGGAAGGAAGTGGACTGTGAGCTTTACGAATGCTTGTGCTTGTCAGCAGCGCGTCTTATAGCAACTACTTCAATACTCATCAGAGTGCTTTGATGTTGTCCACATCTTCGTTGGCTGAAAGGCTGCAGACCTTGGAATAATATGTGTATCATTTTATTCCAGTGCGTTTTTAATTTGCAATTATTAAGCAAATGTTTGTCACCCTTCTGGTATAATTTTAACCCTCCTAGAAAAGTAACATCTTGAAATGTTTGTCTGGACAATCCTAGGATGTTAGTATGTCGAAATAATTTATAAGAACATGTATTAATTAGAATCTCACTTGCAGGTACACATGGATTTATTTTTATTATTATATCATGTCACAATTAATTTTTTATAAGACACAGCTGCATTTTGATAGTACTGATTTTCGGTTAAAATGACAATAAGCCCACAATATTTTAAATAAAGATACAAATTTCCATTGGGGTAATAGTTGAAGTAAAGCTGAAAAATGTGAATATTTTCAGGGGCAAAAGCTTCTAGGTGATAGACCTTCAATCAATTATTTGCTCTTGGTAAATAAAGAGTGTTTTTGTGCAAGTGCTGTGTGTTTTATGTATGATTTATGTAACATCTACCCCTTTTAGACAAAGTGTCATATTGCAATGAATAATCACTTGATTATCCTTTGCCCACTTGCAGTTTTTCCCTCATCTCCAGTCTGGTGAAACTGTTGTCAGCAGGACAGAAAGTGAGGGTAAATCTCTCTAATGGAGAATTAAATTGCGATACCAAATCCAACCAGAGTATAAATCTTTCTCCACTCCATTCAAAAATAGAAAAAATGTATTGGCTTGACATACGTTCATTGCGAGTCATCAGCACAGAAAATTGTATATTGTCATTCTTCCAAAGCAATATATTTTTAGGGTGCACGTATTGTTCTAAGCAGGCTGATGTTTATTATAGATAACAGATAAAACACTTACAAATTGTAGCTCAAAGCACCATTAAAGTGGTTGTAAAGGCTGAAGGTTTTTTTACCTTCAAGCATTCTATGCATTAAGTTAAAAAACCTTCAGTGTGCAGCTCCTCCCGCAAGCCCCCCTAATACTTACCTGAGCCCGATCCACATCCAGCGATGTGCACGAGAGCAGCGACTCTCCTTGGTCTCTGCCTCCTCATTGGCTGAGACTCAGCAGTAGGAGCATAGCCAATCACAACCAGTGGGGAGGGAGCAGGGACGGGGTCGGACTGCACTCTGTTTCTCAAAGATACACAGAGATAGCTCTGGAGAGAGCACACACGAATGCCTCAAGAGCAAACAGCAGAGGGGAGGGGCCAGGAGTGCTGGTGAGTGGCCCCGAGAAGAGAAGGATTGTGACTGTCCTGTGCAAAACCATTGCACAGAGCAGGTAAGTATGGCATGTTTATTACTAAAAGTTCACTTTTTTTTATCACCTTTAAAAGTACTCTAGTCCATCCATAAACTATTGACAATAATGTATTCATTTCATTTTGATATGGGTATGTTCCCTGGCTTTCCTACAAATTCTGATGTCTGGTTCTGAGATTAAGTTGTACTGATTTTTGCACTGGTGTGTATGTGTGTTTTGTACTGGCATATCTGTGAAGACCATCAGTGTACTTCACAACATCTAAACGAGCTTTCTGATATTTGCCCAAAGGATTTCTTTTCATTTTTTACAATTTTATCGTTTTATAGAAAAGTGAAAGGAGGAAACATTGATGTCCATCCAAGTGAGAAAGCTCTTATTGTCCATTATGAAGTGGAGGCTACTATTCTCGGGGAGTTGGGTGACCCCATGCTTGGTGAGCGGAAGGAGTGTCAAAAAATGTAAGTTAGAATTAAGTCTACCTTTTTTTTTCCACTGTGCTAGTACTGTCCTGATATGAAGCCTCTTTCACATGGGCGACCAGTGGGTGGTAACAAAGGTGGTTGAGCTGTGGTTTTGCTGACCACCAGCCTATAACATAACATGCAGCCAAAGGGGACGGTACACATGCCATGGCCATGAAGTACGACACTGCCTGTCAAACATGTCCATTGAAGTCAGTGGTGTCACGCTGCAAGTGTTTGGCTTACAGTTGCAGCATGACTTTTCTGTACAAAATCCCTGTTTGGCTGGAAAGAAAAATAGGCAAAAAAAAGCACGCATTCAGGAGGCGACAGGAGCGCCACCAGATCGCCTAGAAGGCATCCTCTGAAAAATAATCCTCCACAGATTGATTTTCAGAAGTTGGTAGAACTGATGCAGGTGTGAAAGAGGCAAAGACATCATGAGATATTAAATGAGGTAGTGTGCATATCGCAATTGACATGACCCAGTTGCTCATAAAAGCTGTTGGCATTGTGAATTTACATTGGTTTTCTGTGAATTGATGATGGTCTGTTGATAGAGAATATTTTTATGTCATTGGTTTAAAATATGTTTTCTGATTAAAAATTTGTTAGTTTGTAAAAAGAACTCCTCCACAACAAACTTTTTTCAATACCTGCGGATCAAACACTTTTTTTTTTACAAAACACTTTTTTTTTTTACAAATTTACGTATGATATCTTGAGGGTCCCAGAATGCTTACATCATTTGAGTCTAAATGTTCCTTTGACCCACACGCCCTTGGTATTATCTCTTTCCTTTACTTGCAGCTTCTCACACATTTGTCCCAATGGCCACCTGCTTACACTGAAAAAATGGCAACGGATTTAGATACAGAATTAGATGCCCAGGACTGGGCCCAAATTTGGGACACTGCTAAATCATGCTCCACAAATGTACAGGCGATGGAACCTAACTATAAAGTCATTACAGGGTGGTGCCTTATCCCCCATTAGAGTGGCTCATTGCAATTCAAAACATTCTGCTCAGTGTTTCTGCAACTGTGAACAGATCAGTTGGTTTCATCACACTTGGTGGCAGTGCCCCATCGCTAATCGCTTTTGGTCTGCGATATACTAGATGATCTCAGAATTCACTGATACCCCTGTCCCCTATGTGCCCCAATATGCTCTGCTGAGCCTTAAGCAACCTGGAATACACAAGCACCCCTTCAAATTACTGCTACACATTTTTACAGCTGCAAAACAGACAAATGCTAAAACATGGTACTCCCCCACTCTGTCCCCGTAACCATCTCTAGAATTATTGCTGTTCTTTTGCATGAAAAGCTCAAAGCACATCTAATAGTAGGGTCAACAATACCAAGTATTCTGGAGACCATGGACCTTGTGCTACCTTCCAACGGGTTTTGCCCGAGAACGCCTGTTTTTATGACTGGGCTAGCATATTTCTCCACTGCCCCTCCTCCCTTCCCTTCCCCCATAGCCCTGCCAACCCCCACTACCCCCCCCCTCCCCATTTATTTATTTTTTCCTTCTTCCCTTATCCAGGCCGACATGTTGCTCATTTTATGCTTGTCAGTGAAATGATTCCTACCCATTTCTGCAGGAATTTTATACATTTGCCTACCTGTGATGTTTTTAATCTTTATGTACTCTTAGGACCTTTAACTCACAGTAATACAGTGGTGAGTACTCATGAGTAATGATGAGCGCAGTAATTCTACGCTTGTATATTGCAACACTAGAAGAATATAAGCATACTCACAGATCCATAGTTTGCTAGATTTTATTGGCATAAGCACGTTTATGTTCATTTTAAGAATCATTTTGATCTTTCTGTCAAAAAGATCCTGAGTATAAAAATCAAGAAATTATTCTGGCTGTCATTCAACCTGAAAGACCAAAGACACTGACAATGTGTTTAGCAAAGGAAATAGTTGTGTATGAAGTACATTATATTTAATAGAGTTGTTTTGCTGTTTTTTTTATTTATTTAGCATTCGTCTGAAAAGTCTCAATGCCAATACTGATATTGCCTCTCTGGCACGGAAAGTGGTTGAGGAATGTAAACTCATCCATTCTGCAAAATTACCTGAAGTAGAACAGTTACTTTATTATCTTCAGAATCGCAGAGATGGATTAACTAGTAAAGGTAAGGAACATAAGGGTAGCTTTTCATGTATTTCCATCCTTTTTCTTAGTATAGGTTATATGGTCAACTAATGTGGTACACTGTGGAAAACCAAAGTTAACGGCTTTAAAGCAGTATTAAACCCAAAGCCAAAAATGTAATATACATGTATTTCATGTGAATAAATCAAAGAGTGCGCTAAATATAAGTAAATACAAAAATTATTAGTTTAAAATAATGATGTCCTTGACAGAAAAAATTTTATATAAAAGTCCATCCACAATAACAAAGTAATTAAATAGTTCTGAAATCTTGTATAAATCAAACACCGTGCAAAAAAAATCCACCACCGAATGAAATGGGTACACTTACCAGAGCTCCATGCAGACCAGATTTTAAGTCAGCAAAGATAGCGTTTGCTCTGGGAGCGATGATCAGCAGAAGTAATCCAAACTGGGAGCAATATACTGCAAGCAGCCAGTCAGCACAATATGGAATAGCCTTAACAGCAGGTAGTCATCACGTCTCCATACCATAGATCATGTTCGGGGAATCAAAAAAGGAAATCATGGTGCAGTACGTTTAAAACCAAAATGTTTTATTAAACAGAAATGCACTCATAAACAGGGTGTCTAGCCGACTCCAGCAATGACAGCCTCAAGAAAGCAGGGACGAGCTTCGCTCACCGCGATATCACAGCCGTCAGTCTACGAGGAGCGTCCAGACGTCACATCCAAAAGAAGCCCCGCCCTACTAGTTTCATCATCCGATGTCCTCACGGTGGATTTTTTTTGCACAGTGTTTGATTTATACAAGATTTCAGAACTGTTTAATTACTTTGTTATGGTGGATGGACTTTTATATAAAAATTTTTTGACCACGGACATCATTATTTTAAACTAATTGCATTCTCTTTGATTTATTCACATTTTCAAGTTTTTTTGGTTAGGAGTGCAGTTTTTGTTCTGTTTAGTTTGTGGCGCTTTTTTTTTTCTCTCTATTTCTCATATTATACATGTATTCCAGCTTACCAATCCTTGGAGGTGGCTGCATTAGTTTTCTTTTCTTTACCTCTTTCCTTTTTTACCTTTTTTCCATTGTTTTCACCTGGTGATCTGACCAGTAACACACATCCTGTATTAGTGAGACATAACTCTGCATGAATGAGCACAGGATGCACAGAAGACAGTAGCATTGTCAGTCTGGGGAGGGGGGTAATGTTAAATGTATTAACAGATTTAAATACCCTAGCTAATTGTAGTCAAACTCCAGCTCATGCTTTGTAATCAGTTATAGCAAACTGTTTTTTTTTTGGGGGGGGGGGGGGGGGTTGGGTTGAAAAGCTTTATATGAATAAATAAAAGCTCATCATTCTAATCACCCCTGTTAGTGTTAAATTAATTGTCTCATCCGTGTAAATTAATACATGCTGGAGAGCTTGTGCTTATGAAAAACAGACTTGCTGGCTGGGTCACCAGATGAAACTAGAAGAAAGCAAGCCTGAAATAGGGATCTAATTCCAGCCACCACAACTAAAAATTGGTAAGCTGCAATATAATTAATGTTTGCTGTCCAGTTTAATACCACTTTAAGCGGAACCATCCAGTCTTGCATTTCCTTATTGTAGGTCTCTTCAGTTCTACCTGACGCCCCTTTACATGTTAGTGCTCTACGTTTTTTTGCTTTACCAGACCACAACTGGGGCTGAATCCAAATGCCAGTCATATGCCCCAAAATGCAAAAATTGCTGCGCTTCTAGCTTTTTTTTTGTGCTACTTACTGCCTGTCATGTTATCCTTTTCCCCATTTATTCTAAATCTAAGGGCAGGCGGTTGGTGTGTCTAATGACAGTGCGACATGCCCTGCGGCGCTAAGGCCGGAGTTCTCTTAAGAATGAGGATGCTTGTGCATTGATGAGAAAGTATGTGATGTGATGGACGGGACAGGGCTGGGCATGGATGATCAGATCATGGAGGGGATGGGTAAACCTGTTAGAACAGACACTGACACGGCACTAGGAAGTGCCTGTAATCAGCCACATTCGACTGCCCAGGCACAGTGTTGGCGGTGAAGAAGGGGAGGGTTGCTCTATGTCTGTTTCTAATCAGATATTTAGCAATCCCAAAAGTGCTTAATATAAAAGCTGATTATATTTTTCACATAAATAAAGGGTAGATTTTTTTTTTTTTCATTTTTAACTGGAATTCCACTTTAACTGTTATTTTTTTTAATCATGTCATTTGAAATTATTTGAGTTTTGGTACTCTTAAGGGAAACCTATACTAGGAGACATACATTCACCGGCCACTTTATTAGGTACACCTTGCTTGCACTGGGTTGGACCCCTTTTTGCCTTCAGAACTGCATTAATTCTTTGTGGCATAGATTTAACAAGGTGTTGAAAACATTCCTCGGAGATTTTGGTCCATTCTGACATGATAGCATCACGCAGTTGCTGCGGATTTGTCGGCTGCACATCCAGGAACAAGGCAGGATGGATCCATGCTTTAGTGTTTACGCAGCTCCCCAACGGCCACTGAAATCTTTGGCCAGTCAGCTTCTGGATACCGTTCTTCAGCCATTTTCATTGGCCAGGCTGAGATGATGTCACTTCTGTGCATGTGCAGGAATTCATTCATCTCAGCATCCCCGGAAGTGTACACTGAGCTGCACAGGCAGGAAAGGAACTTTACTGCAGAAGAGCGGTATTATGTACATTTGTAAAAGGAAAGAAAGTTGGCTTGTTCTTATGAAGATTATAATTAGGGTGTTATACCTGTATCAAAGACTGTACTTTTTGTATTCTTTATTTTCATGCTGAAATGTACAGTATGTGTTTGCTTTAAAAATAAAGAGGTCCTGTAGATCTAAATAATGGTAGTCACAATTTTTTATTGCTCATAATATTTGTCCAACAATTATTTAGTAAACAAATACACTGAAATTATTATTTTTTTAGTTCATCAATAATAAAATCTCCAACCACATAAAAAAAAAGTACAAAATGTGTTAAATTGAAATTGCAGAAAACTGCTATACTGTTCCTATAAATTTCAGTAGGAGATGCTTTGAACACCTTTTACAGCTCCTCAGTTTAGAAACATCCCTAAATAATGATTGTAGACATTCTCCTTTCATCGTTGTGTGTGTGTGTGATTTGGGATACCTAATATGTGTTTTGGAATTGTCTGGAAAGCATCAGGAAGTATACAGTTGCAAGAAAAAGTATGTGAACCCCTTGGGATTACGTGGAGTTTTGCATGAATTGGGCATAAAATGTGCTCTGAACGTCATCTAAGTCACAACAATAGAAGAACACAGTCTGCTGAACATAATACTACACAAACATTAGATGTTGCCATGGTTTAATTGCACATAACATGTAAACATTCCCAGTGCAGGGAGGAAAAAGTATGTGAGGCCCTAGCTTAATGACTTCTCCCAGAGCTAATTGGAGCCAGGAGTGAGCCAACCTTGACTCCAATCAGTTTGATGCTATTGGATGTGTTGCTGACAGCTGTCCTGACCTAAAAAAACACACACCTGTTTTGGGTTTACTGGTTTCAAGAAGCTCTGTCTGATGTGAACCATGCCTCGCAGAAAAGAGCTCTCAGAAGACCTACAATCAAGAATTGTTGACTTGCATGAAGCTGGAAAGGGTTACAAAAGTATCTCCAAAAGCCTTGATGTTCATGTGTCCACGGTAAGACAGACTGTCTACACAAATGGAGAAAGTTTAGCACTGTTGCTACTCTTCGTAGGTGGGGTCGTCCTGTAAAAATGACTGCAAGAGCACAGCGCAGAATGCTGCAAGAGGTAAAGAAGAATCCCAGAGTGTCAGCTAAAGACCTACAGAAATCTCTGGCACATGCTAACATTTTTGTTGACACATCTACAATAAGGAAAACATTAAACAAGAATGGAGTACATGGGAGGACACCACGGAGGAAGCCATTGCTGTCCAAAAAGAATATTGCAGCACATTTGAAGTTTGCAAAAGAGCACCTGGATGTTCCACAGCACTACTGGCAAAATATACTGTGGACAGATGAAACCAAAATTGAGTTGTTTGGGAAGAACACACAACACTGTGTGGAGAAAAAAAGGCACAGCACACCAACATCAAAACCTCATCCCCACTGTAAAGCATGGCGGAGGGAGCATCATGGTTTGGGGCTGCTTTGCTGCCTCAGGGCCCGGACGGATTGTTGTCATTGATGGGAAAATGAATTCCAGAATTTATCAAGACATTTTGCAGGAAAACGTACGACCATCTTTCCGCCAACTGAAGCTCCGCAGAGGATGGGTGATGCAAAAGGACAATGACCCAAAGCATACAAGTAATTCAACAAAACAATGGCTGCAACAGCACAGAATACGCCTTCTGCAGTGGCCCAGTCAGAGTCCTGACCTCAACCCGATTGAAATGCTGTGGCATGACCTTAAGTGAGTGATTCACACCAGACATCCCAAGAATATTGCTACTTTGAAACAGTTTTGTGAAGAGGAGTGGTCCAAAATTACTCCAGATCGTTGTGCAGGTCTGATCTGCAACTACAGGAAACGTTTGGTTGCACTGTGAATGTTTACATGTTATGTGCAATTAAACCATGGCAACATCTAATGTTTGTGTAGTATTATGTTCAGCAGACTGTGTTCTTCTATTGTTGTGACTTAGATGACGTTCAGAGCACATTTTATGCCCAATTCATGCAAAACTCCACGTAATCCCGAGGGGTTCACATACTTTTTCTTGCAACTGTACATATGGGTGTGTGTGTGTTTGAGTGCACATGCGTGGGGCTTAAAAAAATAAATTAATATATTAAAAAAAAAAAAATCTATGTGAGCATCTGTAGCATTGTGTAGGTGACAAGTTCTCTTTATGGAGACATGAGGGGTATATTGTACCTCTAATGTCTTCCTTGTACTCACCCAAGCAGATCGATTACAGTGCATGGTGTTTTTTCTTGTTTATCTTTTAGAATCTTAGAACTTCTGACAGATTACTACGATAGCGAGAAAGTTTTTTTCCTTTTTTTTAAATAGAAGACATAACATTATGATCTTACAATATATTATTTGCCATGATTCTGTTTTGATTTTGCCATTTGTACATTTTTATAAATATTTTTCTGTAACAGACAAGAAGGAAAAGAAGAATGGCAAGCCAAAGGATCCACCACCTTTTGAAGGAATGGAGGTAAACTTTATAGTTGCTTCGTAGTTCTCATAGGACATAAATTGCATAGAAATGACTACCTGCACTAGGGGGCTTGCACTTTAGGCAGTGCTTTTTTTAAATTTAAGTAACATCATCACTTTAAAGTGGTTCTGAAGTCAGAACATTTTCTTACCTTAATGCATTGTCTGCGTTAAGGTAAAATACTTCCCACTACCTGTTCTAGCGGCCCCCCTCAATCACCCGGCTCCTCTTACGGACCAGCGCTGTCCCATCTGCAGCAGTGCTGCTTTCACTTCCTCTTTTCACATGAGACTCTGATCGCAGCAGGAGCCTTAGGATCCTGCTGCTGTCAGTCAGATCCTGTGAGGAGAGAGCCGGGGGCATGGCCAAGCTACGCTGTGTATGTCTCTAAACACACATCTTGCTGAGGGGGCACCTGCAGTAAGGGAAAAGCTGACAGCAACAGTGGAAGACTCAGAAGAGGAGGCAAGGGACCACTCTGCAATATAATTGTATAGAGCAGGTAAGTATAACTTGTTTTTTTTTATTTTAAAGTGAAATAAATAATTACCTTTAAAGTGTTACTAAACACAGGACCCTGCATCCGCTATATCTGGTCTCCCACAGTACACAGAACATATAATTAAATGCAATTATTTTAGTAAATATAAACTGCCTTTTCTCATCAGAAGTTAGAGCAGTCTTGCGGCTTCTATCCGTGTTCAGCCAAGAACTAGCTAAAGCTTGTAGGAGTTTTCTTTCTGCTCTAGGAGGATGCAAAACCCCTGACCTCTGTCTGACCAGTGCTGATTGGCCTTGTGCTGATCACATGCACTCTCTCAAGAAAAAAAAAAAACAACCTCTCTAGCAATACACACCAAACTGAGCATGTGCAAAATGCCCACAGTTCAGTCTGTCTTATCAGGAGAAAAGAGGTGGTTGCTTGAAAAAGGGGAGGAACAGAAGACAGGATCAAATGGCCTTTTTACACAATGCAGAGGATTACCCCTTAGGTTCCACACTGAGTATAACAAGCATGCTTTACTGCATATACAGGCTGGTTTTACTGTTGTGGGTTTAACCGCTTCCCGATGCTACAGGGCATCACGGGTGCGTATATATACGTGATTTCACATTTCCGGGTAGGGGGCGCGCGCCCTACGTGCGCTGCCATTCGTAGCTGCGGCTGTCAATCACTGAGTCCCGACCAGTGATGACTCGCTGGCGCACTGTTATTACTGAGAATCTCCGACGGGGAGGAGAACTGTTTTGTTTACTAATAGTTCTCCTCCCTGTCAGCTCGAGCACAGTGCTTTGGATGGCTGTGCACGGCACAGCCATCCAAACCAGTGTGCTTACAGTGAAGCACATAAACACCGCCCCCTAGTAAAACACTCCCTGCACACAGTTAACCCTTTGGTCGCCCCACATGTTAACCCCTTTCTGCCCAATGTCATTAGTACAGTGTCAGTGCTTTTTTTTTTTAGCACTAATCACTGTATTGGTGTCACTGGGGATGTTAGTGACACCAAGTCAGTTCCCCCCCAGTGTCAGAATGTCCACCGCAGTCCTGCTATAAGATGCTAATCACCGCCATTACTAGTAAAAATAAAATATACCAGTATATATACCTCCATTTATAAAACGCTATAACTTTCACGTAAATCAATTAATTTACACATATTGGAATTTTTTTTTAGCAAAGACATGTAGCAGAATACATTTTGACCAAAATTTATGACGAAATTTTGATTTTTTTTTTTTTTTTTCACTGGTCATGTTTAGCAAAAAGTAAAAAATATTTTTTTTTCTCAAAATTGTCGGTCTTTTTTAAAGTTTTTTTTTTTTGTTGTTGTTTATAGCGCAAAAAATAAAAACCGCACAGGTGATCAAATACCACTGAAAAAAAGCTCAACTGGTGGGGGAAAAAAAGGATGTAAATTTCACTTCGGTGCAGCTTTGCATTACCGTGTAATTGTCAGTTAAAGTAACGAAGCGCCGTAACACAAAAAATGGCCTGGTCAGGAAGGGGGAGTAAATCCTCAGGACAGCATGGGGTTAATAACACTTTAATATCACCTTAAGAGGGAAATCTTTCAGGAGTATGTAAGTGTTTAAAACTCTGTTGTACATACTCTGTAAGAAAGTGCCATATATGTCAAACACCCTGCATCTTTTGTGTTTTCAGATTGACGAAGTTGCGAACATTAATGACATGGACGAATATATTGAATTGCTGTATGAAGACATTCCTGATAAAGTTCGTGGCTCTGCTTTAATTTTACAGCTTGCCAGAAACCCAGACAATTTAGAGGAATTACTGCTGAATGGTAAATATTTCTTATTCGCACGTTTCTAATTATTATATAAAAAAAAAACACATGCTTAAAGTGGTTTTAAAGGCTTTTTTCCCTAAAATAACAAACATGTTATACTTGCTAAGTGCAATCGTATTGAATAAAGTAGCCCTGAACTTCCTCTTCTGGTGTCCCCCACCGGTGCTCTTGGCACTTTCTCTTCTGTGTCTGCCTCCATAGCAAGCCGCTTGCTATGGGGGTAGACATGTGGGAGCAATCCTGAGCCAAGCTGTGCACATCTATTCATAAACACACACAGTGCATCTCAGCCCTGCCCCTCACTCCCTCCTCCTTACTTAATTTGACTGACAGCACGAACCAATGGCTCCAGATGTTGCTTGTCAGTCCCTGTGTAAAGTGGGACAGAGGAGAGAAGACTGCAGCAGGGCACAGCAATGGATCAATGCAGGAGTGAGGTAAGTGGGGGGGGGGGGGGGGGGGGGGGGGGGGGGGCGCAGCAAAATGTTATGCAGGGAGTACATTAAGGTAAAATTTTTCAGCTTTAGAACCACTTTAAACCATGTGTTCTCTTTTAAATTACTAGTTTATCAGAACTACAAGAAAAAAGGGAATTATGTGTTTGCGGTAAAGTCGCAGCAGTATCTACCAACTCAGCCTCTTTTCATCATTTCCTCCTATGGTAGAGTCTGAGAGAAATAGATCTCCTTATTGAGAATCTTGTTGAACAGATCTCCCCCCCCCCCCCCCAGAGTCGTATGCATATACAACCCCTGGCAAAAAGTATGGAATCACCACTTTTGGAAAATGTTCATTCAATTGTTTAATTGCGTAGAAAAAGAAAGCAATCAGACATGCTTCAAAACTTCTGGCCTTAAGAAACGCATAAAAAAATAAAAGAAGAAAGAAAAACTGTAGTGAATTGCAACTGTTTTCAGATCAAGCGGAGGAAAAAAATATAGAATCGTTCAATTCTGAGGAAAATATTATGGAATCACCATGTACTTTGCAGTTCTAAAACAAACATCTGCATCAGATTACATCTGCTAATAAGTCTAGAGGTAAAGAGTGCTTGCACACCTTACTGAGCTGTTGCACCAAGCTGATTGACATGAATCATGGCTCCAACAAAAGAGATGTCAGTTGAAACAAAGGAGAGGATTATAAAAGCAAGTTAATCATCACGGAATGTTGCAAAAGATGTTGGTCCAGATTTTAGACACAGCTGACTGGGAACAACCAAGAACAAATTAAAAGAGAAGGTTGTAAAAGGGGAGCATACTGGTAGACCAAGAAAGACATCAAAGCGTCAAGCGCCTTGAAAACAGAAAATGCACAATACAACAAGTGAACAAATGGGCAGAAACTGGAGTCAGTGTCTGTGATAGAACTGTAAGATATCGCTGAAAGGAAATTGGATTTACATACAGAAAAGCCAAATGAAAACTATCATTAACACCTAAACAGAAAAAAACAAGGTTACAGTGGGCTAAAGAAAAGCAATCATGGACTGTGGATGACTGGATCAGGGGTGTATCTGCCGCCAGGCAAACAAGACACCTGCTTAGGGCGGCATTTTTCCAGGGGGGAAGCATCCCCCTCAGGCATAAGGGACCAGTGCCATCTACAAAGGGCTGTGCTCGGGCGAGAGGGCAGGCTCGTGTGTGCTCGGGCTCGGGGGGGGGGGGGCATGCTCGGGCAGGGAGCAGCTCAGCTGTGTTCGAGTGGGGGGATAGGCTTGTGTGTGTGTTTGGGCAGGGGTGGCCCACCATGCCATGGCCCTGTGTTGTCACTGTCAGCGCTAGTAGGGGCAGGGAAAGCACGTGATTGGTTGCTAGGACATCGGCGGTCCTAACAACCAATCAGGTGCTTGCCCTATCCCCAGGCCACGACATTCAGAGGAGGAGGAGGGCGGCAAGGACAGGACTTCTTCCAGCTCGTGTATCTGTCCAGAGGAATGAATGGACTAGACCCTGAGGTAAGGGGGGTTGGGGGATCCTGATGTAAGGGCAGGGGGAACTTTGGGGACCAAATTAAAGAGAATGAGCTCCAGGGACCCGGATGTAAGGTGGGGGACTCTGAAGACCATGCTGTATAGGGGGACCCTGATGTACTGGGGGGACTTTTGGGACTCTGATGTAAGGGAATGGGGGAACTCTGGGGACCCTTATTCAAGGAGGGGGATCTGGGTCTCTGGGGGACCCTGATGTATGGGTAGGGTCTATGGGGTGGGGGGACTCTGGAGACCATGATGTAAAGGTGGACCCTGATATATTGGGGGGGGACTCTTGGGGCTCTGATGTAAGTGGTAGGGACTATGGGGACCCAGATGTAAGGAGGTGGGCTCTGGGGGACCATGATGTAAAGAGAGGGCCTATGGGGGACCCTGATGTAAGGTGGGGGGGACTCTGGAGAACATGATGTAAAGGGCTGACCCTGATGTATTGGGGGGGGGGGGGGGGACTTTTGGGATCCTGATGTAAGGAGGGAGGACTCTGGGAAACCTAATTTAAGGAGGGGGCTCTATGGGACCCTGATTATAAGGGGATGGGCTATGGGGACCCTGATGCACATAAGGTGGGGGGACTCTGGAGACCATGATTTAAAGGGGATCCTGATTTATTTGGGGGGGGGCGTTTTGGACCCTAATGTTGAGGGGGGACACTGGGGAACCTGATTTAAGGAGGGGGTACTTGGGGGCCCTGATGCAAGGGGAGGGGTTGTGGGGACCCTCTCCTGTATGCTGTCTGCAGTGTCCTGGGGTGGAGCCTAAAGTGGAAGGGGCGGAGTTTACAGATGAAGGGTTTGATCCTAAACAGTGATGAATCACAAATCTGCATTGGGCAGGGGGATGATGCTGGAACTTTTGTTTGGTGCCATTCCAATGAAATGTGTAAAGACGACTGCCTGAAGAAAACATGCAAATTTCCACAATCATTGATGATATGGGGGTTGCATGTCAGGTAAAGGTACGGGGGAGATGACAGTCATTAAATCTTCAGTAAATGTACAAGTTGATATTGAGAAATCGGACACTTTTCTTATTCCATGAATTGAAAAAATGTTTGGTGATGATGACATAATTTTTCAGGATGATAATGCATCTTGACATAGGGCAAAAGCCGTGAAAACATTCCATCAAGAAATACATATAATGTCAATGGCATGGCCTGCAAATAGTCCGGACCTCAATCCAATTGAAAATCTATGGTGGAAATGAAAGAAAATGGTCCATGACAAGGCTCCTACCTGCAAAGCTGATCTCGTAACTGTAATAAGAAAGTTGAAGCCTGTTTGTCGATAGTTAACCACTTCCGCACCACCCTATAGTAGAAGTACTGCTACAGGGCGGCACGGGTGTGCGAAATGACATGTATACATACGTAATTTTGAAGTTCCGTTTAGGGGGCGTGCACACACCCTACCTGCGCTGCCATTCGGGGTCCTTGGCTGTCAATCATCAGGTTCCGGCCGGTGATTCCCCGCCAGCACCTGGCGATCTCCAAGTATTTCTGTCGGGCGAGAGACCTGTATGTAAACAATGCAGATCTCTCCCCTGTCAGCTCCTGGTCAAGGAAATATAGGGGATCCACCGTCACCAACACCAAAAAACACTGCCTCTTACCAGAAAAAATTGACCCCCAAATATGGACGAGTCAAAATGCGCAATGCAAATTCCCAGGAGAGTGGCGTGAACCTGGATATATGTTAACTCCGAGGGAACAAAACTGGACCCAAGTTGTACAAGGATAAACACCCGTAGATCTGATTCCAACAGTAAGCCGTGCTCAGGACACTGATACCAGCCCAAAACTTGAACTTCAGAAATTGGATGTAAGAAAAAAACCTGTAAAACATGAATTCTCTTTATAGAGGACAATTCAATTACAAAGGCAGAAAGAACTTCATAGTGTAGTATTTCCAGAAAGATTTATTGCCTCAAAGTATAGTATAAAACGTACATGAAAATATAAAAAAACAGCATGTCACCCATAGAAATGAATGGTATATTTCAAACCTTAAAGATGGCCGTCACGTTTCGGTACGTGCTGACGTCACGCGTTCTGGCTCCTCCCTATGCGTTTTGTCATCGGTGACGTCGTCAGAGTACTAGTGGTGTACTGTAGTGTTTTTTTTTCATGATTTCATAATATTTTCCTCAGAACTGAGTGATTCCACATTTTTTTTCCTCTGCTTGATCTCCAAAAACAGTTACTGACTACAGTTTTCTTTCTTTTTAATTTTTTTTTTTAAGTGTTTCTTAAAGCTAGAAGAATGGAATGTTAAATAAAAAAAGTTATGAGTCATGTCTGTGATTAGTTTTTTTTTTTCCTGCACCATTAACCACTTGAGCCCCAGAGGATTTACCCCCCTTAATGACCAGGCCTTTTTTTGCTGTTTGGCGCTGCACTAATTCAAATGATAATTGCGCGGTCATGCAATGCTGTACCCAAACGAAATTTACGTCCTTTTTTTCACACAAATAGAGCTTTCTTTTGGTGGTATTTGATCACCTGTGCGCTTTTTAATTTTTGCGCTATAAACAAAAAAAAACCACGAAACTTTTGAAAAAAAAACAAATATTTTCTACTTTCAGCTATAAAAAATATATCGTAAACTCAAAGTTAGTCATAAATTTAAGCCAAAATGTATTCTGCTACATGTTTTTGGTAAATAAAATCCCAATAAGTGTATATTGATTGCTTCGGAAGTCGCCAGCGACACTGATACAGTGATCAGTAAAAATCTGTTCACTGATCAATGACACTGGTGACAGGGCAGTGAAGGGGTTAACTGGGGGGGGGGGGCGATCAAGGGGTTAAACGGGATTACTGGTGTACTGGCGGGCAATCTGGCGCTATCTGGGAGGGGCGCTAACACTATCGGAAGTCGCCAGCGACACTGATACAGTGATCAGTAAAAATCGGTTCACTGATCAGTGACACTGGTGACAGGGCAGTGAAGGGGTTAACTGGGGGGGGGAGATTAAGGGGTTAAATGGGATTACTGGTGTACTAGCGGGCAATCTGGCGCTATCTGGGAGGGGCGCTAACACTATCGGAAGTCGCCAGCGACACTGATACAGTGATCAGTAAAAATCGGTTCACTGATCAGTGACACTGGTGACAGGGCAGTGAAGGGGTTAACTGGGGGGAGGGAGATTAAGGGGTTAATTGGGATTACTGGTGTACTAGCGGGCAATCTGGTGCTATCTGGGAGGGGCGCTAACACTATCGGAAGTCGCCAGCGACACTGATACAGTGATCAGTAAAAATTGGTTCACTGATCAGTGACACTGGTGACAGGGCAGTGAAGGGGTTAACTGGGGGGAGGGGCGATCAAGGGGTTTAAACGGGATTACTGGTGTACTGGCGGGCAATCTGGCACTATCTGGGAGGGGCGCTAACACTATCGGAAGTCGCCAGCGACACTGATACAGTGATCAGTAAAAATCTGTTCACTGATCAATGACACTGGTGACAGGGCAGTGAAGGGGTCAACTCGGGGGGGGGCGATCAAGGAGTTAGACGGGATTATTGGTGTATTAGTGGGCAATCTGGCGCTATCTGGGAGGGGCGCTAACACTATCGGAAGTCGCCAGCGACACTGATACAGTGATCGGTAAAAATTGGTTCACTGATCAGTGACACTGGTGACAGGGCAGTGAAGGGGTTAACTGGGGGGGGCGATCAAGGGGTTAAACGGGATTACTGGTGTACTGGCGGGCAAACTGGCGCTATCTGGAGGGGCGCTAACACTATCGGAAGTCGCTAGCGACACTGATACAGTGATCAGTAAAAATTGGTTCACTGATCAGTGACACTGGTGACAGGGCAGTGAAGGGGTTAACTGGGGGGGGGGCGATCAGGGGGTTAAATGTGTCCTAGAGTGTTCTAACTGTAGTGTAGTGCTTGTGTACTCACTTTTTGGATGTCTTCTTCTCTGTCTGGAACGGAATGTGTCCAGGCAGAGAAGAATGACATCATATCCTGCCCTGTGTAAATATCAACACAGGACAGGATAGGACAGGGACCGATCATGTGATTTCAGCCAGAAATCACTGGCTGAAATCTAATGATTGATCCCTCCTGGATCGAATCGTATCAACCACGGGTCGGCGGGAGCGCGCGCGCGCGCCCCCTACCCGCGAATGTGTCGGGAGAGCGGAGCACGTTTTAAAACGTGCTTTTGCGCTCCACTGCCGCCCTGCACACGTATATATACAGTGGCAGGGCGGCAAGCGGTTAAACAATTGAATGAACATTTTCCAAGAGCGGTGACGCCATACTTTTTGCCAGATGTTGTATCACTTTACTAGCTTTATAAGCAACAACTAAAAACATTTCTGTAAGCTGGCTCCACATATATAAATTTAACCACTTGAGTACCAGGTGCTGTTTAGAATGCACTTGGATACTGACTCCTGAACTGACACAAATATGGACACGGCTCTGGCCGTGTGTGTGTTTATACTTTCATCAGGGCTGGACAGATGTGTGACACCTTAAAAAGTACAGCTGGCTTCAGGATTGGACAGACTGGCTCCTGAAATCTGTATTAATTCTCTGCCCCTGATAAATACACTCACCGGCCACTTTATTAGGTACACTTGATCGATTGCTTGGTAACACAAATCGCTAATCAGCCAATCACATGGCAGCAACTCAATACATTTAGGCTGGCCATACACTATACAATTTTCTGTCCAATTTCTGCCCAATTTTCTTTAGATATACCTTCAACTGTGTAGTGCAAGGGCCCGCCTAATTGGATACAATTGAAAGTGTTGTTTAGGTTTGGCCTCATATTGTATGCTTTTTGGTAAATCTAAAGCAATTTTCTAAAGAAAATAGTATAGTGTATGGCCAGCCTTAGGCATCTAGACATGGTGAAGACGACTTGCTGAAGTTCAAACCGAGCATCAGATTGAGGAAGAAAGGGGATTTAAGTGACTTGAACATGGCATTGTTGTTGGTTCCAGATGGGCTAGTCTGAGTATTTTAAAATCTGATGATCTACTGGGATTTTTACGCACAACAATCTCTAGGGTTTACAGAGAATGGTCCAAAAAATAGAAAATATTCAATAAGTGGCAGTTGTGTGGACAAAAATGCCTTGTTGATGTCGGAGATCAGAGGAGAATGGGTAGACTGGTCTGAGATGATAGAAAGGCAACAGTAACTCAAATAATCACTCGTTACAACCAAGATATGCAGAATACCATCTCTGAATGCACAACATGTTGAACCTTGAAGCAGATGGGCTACAGCAGCAAAAGACTACACTGGCTGCCACTCAGCTAAGAAGAGTAAATGGAGGCTACAGTTTGCACAGGCTCTCCAAAATCGGACAATAGAAGATTGGAAAAACATTTCCTGGTCTGATGAGTCTCGATTTCAGCTCCAGCATTTAGATGGTACGGTTAGAGTTTGGTGTAAACCACATGAAAGCATGGATCTATCCTGTCTTGTATCAATGGTTCATGGATGTGTAGCCAGCAAATCTGCATCAACTGTGTGATGCTATCATGTCAATATGGACCAGAATCTCTGAGGAATATTTCCAACACCTTGTTGAATCTATGCCAAGAATTAAGGCAGTCCTGAAGGCAAAAGGGGGTCCATCCTAGTACTAGCAAGGTGTACCTAATAAAATGGCCAGTGAGTGTATATAGACTGGGGTTTGCAGCACAAAACAGCTTTGTTTTGTTGCCTAATACACAATCAAGTTACAGCACACAAAGTTTCAGATATCCATGCCTTGCATCTTTAAAGCAGGACATGCATGCCTGGAATTCTGTCTGTACTGTGACTCGCTTGTTTTTTATGGAAATTAAAGTGGAACTGCATTGCATCTGAGCACCACAAACCAAAAATGCTATTTTATTAATTTTTAATATTCAAAGCAAACTCCCCCATCTTTCTGTGTCTCCATGCTTTATTTTTCTGAGAAATCATTTTGAAAAATATCCCCTGGCATTTCTGGCAGTGGCCATCTTTATTAAGGTCAGATGATTCATCTATCATTTTCTTCATAGAATCCATCTGCCCTTAGCTCAGGTATAAGCTGAGCCTAGAATCCTCCCTCTCCTTCAGAAGACTGCTGGGATGTATGGTATCATTTACCTAGGTATGGAAATCAGGAACTAAATGAATAAGTGTAAAAAAAAAAAAAAAAGTAAATATAATATACTTTCCTATCTATTGACTAATGCTAGCAGCATAAGGATTAAAAATAGTCAGTGGTGATTGAGAGAGTGAAGTTCCACTTTAAGCAAAACTTTCTTTCATGCTGCAGTCTGCAGTTGAACTCTTCTCTATGCGTTCTTGGTGGATTTAGGGACCTACCAGGTTGTTCATACAACACTTTCAAAATGACTGCAGGTGCTCCCTGCCCTCTTGCTTGTTATATATCTGTGTATGTACTGTATGTATGTGTGTGTACCTACACAATACAAGTAAAAAATTATAACTATTCTTTCTCCACATTAGTCTCCAGGTCTCAACAATTATGTCACGTGCTCTTGAAGACTTTGGTGCTTATTGCATGAGCTTTAAACCAGTGAGCACAACCCTTTGAAACCGTAGTGGTAATTTGTGTCCTTGGAAACCCAAATTAATCCTATAGTTTTATGTTATGATAACAGTTTATGAACAAACATTTATTTTTTCCTGTCTGCATAGCAATGTAGCATCAAAAAGGGGGGAAAAGCTCTTCTAAACTGGTGTAAACTTTAGGTTTGAGTTTTACCATTTAGTTTTTAGTATATAATGATTCCACTTGAATTATATCATTTTAATCAGAAGATTTTGTTGACTATATCTTAGGGCAGGGGTGGGCAACTGTGGCCCTCCAGCTGTTGTAGAACTACAAGTCTCATGAGGCATTGAAAAACTGACAGTTACAAGCATGACTCCCAAAGGCAGAGGCATGATGGGACTTGTAGTTCACCAACAGCTGGAGGGCCACAGTTGCCCACCCCTGTCTTAGGGTAATCCGCTGTTAATACAAAAATTACATAAAAATCTTTTTGGGGAAAAAAACAAAAATTTAATTTTTCACGTAGGAAATTCAAATTACATCTTTCTGAACATTAACTACCAAAAAAATCTACGGTAGACCACAAACACTTTGAGTTTGTATTTGAGACATCTGCAGAATGAAAAAAAACACACTCTGGGATTCAAGGTAGATATAGGAGGAAAATGGGTTCTTGAGGTCAAGTGATTAACTACCACCAGTTGATAAAGTCTTGCATTGTGCTCCATCAGTTAAATATGGAGGTTCTCTGAACCCAGTTTGGCATTTAAAAAAATAAATAAATAAATTTGACCCTTTTGATATGTATCAAGATAATTTGTTTACTTCTTTAGAAACTGCCTTGGGAGCCCTAGCGAGAGTGTTAAGGGAAGACTGGAAACAGAGTGTAGAACTTGCTACTAATATCATTTACATCTTTTTCTGCTTCTCCAGGTAAATGTTTCATTTTATTGTAAATGTTCATTGCTATATTGTATAGTAGAATACAGTAGCTAAAATTGCATGGGTTTATATTATGTGATACCTGATCATACCCAGAACCCATAGGGTGAAATCTTGCCACTTAATGTCACAGTGCTTTTTCTACCATTCCACCCCCTGCATGTTTAGAAATACTGTTGTGAAAAAGGGTCTTATTTTTCATACTAGTCCCTCTCGGTGTACAGAACAGCTTTTTATTGACGCGTGATCAATCACATTATGGATGGCCCAAATGGCTTACATACAAAGCTAGAGGTATTGGGAGGAACAAACTACCGCGCTTGAAGAGAATTTGTCATGGAAGTTAAAAAATGCTGCAGATATAAAGTGTTGGCGAAAAAATGCAACAGCCTTCCAACAGCACAATCACACCGATGGGCCCATAGGATTCTACAGGATGCAGGCAGCGTTGGTCACATTTGTGCATTTGTCAGGGAGTGCCAAAACTTTGTCTATCAGAACCAACTAGGATTCAGCCGTGATGGAAGGGTTTGGGAAGCTGATGCAGGCATGTGGGATTACTAGACAGAATGTTAGGTGTGTGTTGGAGACTATTACCACTCACTGTATAAGCTTCGTATAATACTCTCCTAAAACGTTTAAAGCCAAGCTCCAGGCAAACCACTAAATACACAGATTAAATGCATATAAGGGATTTGTTTTTTTCTGAGATTTATATAGCCCTGCCAGGCAGCACTGTCAGGTGGATGACATCACTTACTTTGTTACAGTTATATACTGTAAGGGCTCGTTCACTTGTGTTGATTATGGAGAATGAATCAATGCTCATTAACATGCTTATAACTTGTTTTTATTCTGTTTTTGATGCATTGAAAAAGCTTTATGAATGCTTGATAAATGCTGATGAAAGTGTTGCTTTTGTAGTGGGAAGAGCTTAAAGGAGAAGTGATGTAGAAGAAATGCTCTACTTTGAGGTGTGGATTAGGACACCTTTTTTTTGTGGCGTGCTAGCAGACACCTTTTTTAATTGTGTGCAAGATGGATTCATATACTTTAAACTCTTTGCCACTTGGCTTAGCCCGGCTCAACTTTGCTGAAAAAAAAAAAGCTTTGCCACTGGCTCAATGCCTCTGCTGCTACCTGACACTATCAGTATTTCTGGCTGGCTTGATGTTTTTGCCCACAAACAGAAGCAAATGGTGTTACCACATGGCTGTTCTTTACAAACAGGAAGTGACTGGAGTCCTAGTTCTCTATTATTATTTATGGGTTACAGGAACCTCCATTGAATATCCCCCAGTCCCCAGCTAACACTTTTTTTAAATGCTTTGCTAACACGCCATAAATGCTGTAGGTGCAGTTACAGAGCATTACCATTGAAATCAGTAGAGTCGGCTGACAAACGTCGATGCCCTATAAAACAACATGCTGCAAAATTTTTAACACAGTGCAACACAACGAAACGCCACTGCTCCTGTGTAGCTCACTATGTTGTGCCCATTGTAATATTCATGGCAGGCATTGAAGGGTGGTTATGAGGCTTTAAAAATGCTGAATAAATATGGCTTAAACACATGGTATCAACACACCTGTAAACAAGCCCTAAAAGGAAAATAGTGGTGTCATCTCTCCACACCCAGCCTTCAAAGGATGGACAATGAAAATGCCCCAACAGACTGATTGAGGTCATGTCTTCCTTACTCTCCCTTCTCCTTTTATCAGCATGTTGCTTGTCAGCATATTTGCATGCATTACACCCGCTTAGGTCCCAGTCCTGCCCCTCTTTCTCTGAGTACTGCTGAATAGGGGATTGCAAGAGACTGTGGCTTAGTAGTTAGTACATACTGTATACTTTGCAGAGATGGGGTCCTTGATTCGAATCTCAGCTACTATCTTCATGGAGTTTGGATGTTCTCCCTGTGTTTGCTTGGGTTTTCCCTCAGTTATTGTGCTTTCCTCCCACACTCCAAAAACATGCTGGTAGGTTATTTTGCCCTAGTATGTGTGTACAAGTTTGCTATTTACGTGTATTATCACATTTTGTATGCCTTTCCCAAGCCTGAGTAATAGGAGAGGATTGGGGAAAGACCTGGTGATCTACCTTGCATCCAATTCACCAACACAATAATATGGCTCTAAAGCCAATCAGGCATTGTGCCCAGGAAACTAGACCATAGAATTTCTGAGAATCCTATAAGACTGAATACAGAACTGTCTTTTATGTCTACTTGGAGTTCAGATTTAAGTCTTTTTTTCGTGAACGTTATAGATTCGTGGTCTCCAAACTGTGGCCTAGGGGCTGGATGTGGCCTTTTGCGTGCCTTTATCCCACCCTGGGGGAACTATTCCTCCCAATGACACCACTGATGGTGTACTGTTCCTTCCACTAACATCAACAATGGGGCACTTTTCCTCCCACTGATACCAACAGTGGAGCGGTATTCCTGCCACTGATACCAACAATGGGGCATTATTCCTGCCACTGATACCAACAATTGGGAACTATTCCTCCCACTGATACCGACAATTGGGAACTATTCCTCCCACTGATACCGACAGTTGTGCAATATTCTTCCCACTGATACCAACAAATGAGGCACTTTTCTGCTAATACCAACAATGAGGTGCTCTTCTTCCCACTGATACCAAGAATGGGGCACTATTCCTTCCATTGGCTAAAACCAATGATGGGATATTGCTTACTGACACCAGGGCATGTTCTACCCCCAGTGGCCACAGTCCGAGCCCCCCTAAAGCCTGAAGGACCGCAATTTGGCTCTTTGTTTAAAAAGTTTGGTGGTCACTGTTATAGATAAACCTTTTTGAATACACACTACTACTACTGTTGCAGCATGTTTTTGTGCATTTGGCAACTTTTACCTTCTATATAGGGTCAAGAGTGATGAGTCAATGTCCATGTCATTTGCCCCTAAAAGACATTTATTTATTTATTTATTTATTTTAGTAGATTTGATTGAGAAACTTGACCTTGGGCACATGTCTAAAGTGTGAAGGACAGATTTAGAATTAGAAATTAGTTTGCTGAACATAATTATTTGTTACATGTTTTCTTCCAGTTTTTCTCAGTTTCATGGATTAATCACACATTACAAGATAGGAGCTCTCTGTATGAATATAATTGACCATGAGTTAAAGCGTCATGAACTCTGGCAAGAGGAATTAGCCAAAAAGAAGAAAGCAGATATCCTTTTAGCAACTTACAGTTATAGTCTTACTTTTCTGTTTCAATAATCTTTATTGATTTTTCAAAAGAAGCATAGAAAATTACAGGATACAAAACCAACAGTAGTATGAGTGTATACATCCATGACACTTCGGAAATACAGTTGGGCGAACTAGAAAAAGAGAGCATTCCAGTGTTATTACCGGTAAGCTACACAAAATGTATACCTGCTATCATGCTATAGGTCAAGTGTATACAACTGTCTTCTGTGACTGTAAATTTATCAGTAACGCAATGGTCAACATACCAGCAGAAACCAATAGACAGGATATATGTTAAGAAAATAAAGTGAGCTGGTGGGGGCAACTGACCATAAAGCCAGGCCCCAATCAGGAAAGCTGCTCACAAAGATTACCAATAGTAGACATGCCTAAAGGAAAGGTATCCATCCCAAAAAACAGGAGTATCAAGAGAACTACACAATATGCAGTGTTGTTGGTAAGAGAGTCACAAGAAAAATGGGAAAAGGAAGAAGAAAAAAAAGATGTGGGAGAGAAAAAGGAAAAGGGAGAGGAAGAGAGAGAAGTAAAAAGAAGAGAGAAGAGTCTTGTCCAGGAGCCCTCCATCAGCCACGTATCCAACTGCCATTAAACATCTTGGACTTGTAAATAAGAAAGCCAGGGCTTCCAAATCTTGTTGAAAAGTTCTTGCTTATCCCTTAAGACACTCACAATCTTTTCATTAAGCATAAGCCAAGTCAATTTGTATTTCAGCAAAGCCAAGTCAACAACTGGGCTTTTCCAAGACGTTGTAATGGCATTTTTGGCCGCTAAAAACATAAAGTAAATTAGGGTCTGTGTATGTGTCGGGATGTTATGCACCGGCATGTTCAACAGCGCAATCCGAGAATCCCTGGTAATATTGATCAGCCTAACTGAATATATCAAGGAGTGAACACGTCCCTAGAAACATTCAACCTTAGAGCGTGTTCATCAAATATTTAGGGCCATTCCCTCATGCCCACAGCCCCAAAAGCAAGAGGATGAAGAACCTGGAAACATTTTTGAGAGGTATTCCAGTACTAGATAACATCTAGAGTAAACTTTAAAACCCACCTCAACCAGTGCAAACATTCATAATACCATTATAAATACGGGCGGTCAAGGTTTGCCAATCTGCGTCATCAGGACTCATGTTAAGATCTTTCTCCCATGCCAATTGATAGGACAATTTGGAGGATGGGGCAACAGTTTGTACAGTACTGAAATTCACCCTTGTTGCAAGGTAGCTCACACACATCTGTTCTCAAACACAGTTTGTAAAGTAAGGTCATCGCTCGGCTTTTGAAGAGAGCGTAAGTAATGTAGAATCTGTTCTAGATTAAAACTTTCAGAGGGTGGTATCTCTAAATGCTGTATAAAGTATAAGAAAGGGCAAATGCCTTTATGATAAATGAATTAGCCTATCTTATATAATCCATTGTCCATCCACCAATGGAACTGGTGAGATTGTAGGCCTGGTGAGAACAAGGGATTATTAAAAAGGGGGGTGATCGGGATGTGGGGGGATTGAAGGGGCTAGCTCTTGCAGGAAGAGTGCCATAAACTTATGGAATGAGAAAGGGTTGGGCTCAAAAGTGCTTTGTGATGTTTGTTAGGAAGCCAAAGCACCAATCCTATAGGTAGTGGGGAGCAGGCTTGGGCTTCTAAAGACACCTAGTCTGGCCTGTAATAGGAAAAATTTAATTGACACATTTGGGTCAAATGTGCCGCCACATAATATTACAGGAATTTTACTTTTATAATCCTTGCCACTTGTTTTTTTTTTAACATGATATACTATATTTATTTTAGTGATACTTCTTTTATATTGAGTATCCTGTTTATAAAGTGGCAAAACAAATGTTATTCATTTTGCTTTATTCCACTAATCCTTTTTTTGGTAGATTATTATACTACAAAATCCATATTTATAACCCTGATGAATACTTAGCAGAATAATAAACAGTTAAACAGATTTTTCAGTATTTTAATTTTTTTACAGCGATTACAGTAACAAAATACAATGCCTATAATTTTTCAGCCACTCCTTTTTTTTTTTTTACCATAATCGATTAAAAACCGGGGATGAAATCCCATTTATTGGTGATTTCTTGTTGTAATTTACATATTCAGCATTTTTGCATGCAGGGCTTTATAAGTAGATGTGAAAATGACCACTAATATGGTAAAATTACTGAGAACTATTGTTACTGTATGTCCTAAGAAGGTAGATGCATTGTGATTATTGTGATATTTCAAATTATTGAGGATATTTGAGAACTCTTAGAATTTCGCAGCTTGAGTTTATTTGTGTGAACATTATATGAGGATAAAAGACTGCTGTTTTAATGCTTATATTGATTAAGTGGAACTTAAAGTATAAGTAAAGGCAAAACTTTTTTTAGTTTTGGATTGAATGAAAAGGGGTTAGAACACCTGTCAGGTTATTATTGCTGTCTGTGCCCCTGTTTAAGAGATTTACCCTCTCTGTTTGTCCTGTTTACTGTTCTCACCAAGAGTGAAAATGAAAGGAAATTACAAATTTTGGGTTCTCACCAGAACAGGGAAAGAGGGAAACGTCCAATGAAGACACCAGTTCTAATGACCTGGGTGACAACCAGGGATTTCCTCACATTCAAGGCATTTCTTCTCTCTTCCCATTTTGCTTATGTGATAGGAAGTGCAGAGAAGACTCCCCAATGGGACACAGATGGAAAAAAAACTGACAGGAGTTACAACCGTACATTACTCTGTCCCAAATGAAAAAAAATAAGTTTTGCCTTTAGTTCTACATTTCCTGCAAATGCTTTACCCCACCCTTTTCATTACATCTGTATACTTTTACATAGCCATGAATCTCAGACTAGGTACTGCTACCTAGTAGTACCTTCTATGTTTTAGCAGCCAGTGGTTGCACATTTATTTATATGCTCCAGTTGCAGCCACAGACTGTAATGGCTGTCCATGGATCTGTGTGTATGCATATTAAAATTATAGGGAGGATGAAGTGGGGAGGAGTATTTGTGGGGGCATTATATTGAAAAAAAAAAGTTCCAAGAAATCTCTTGCTTTTTTTATTGTGAAACATTAACATTCCGCTTATGGCATTATCTGTTAAATCCTTTGCTTATATTTTTTTGTTAAATCTTTTCCCTGTTCAGAATGTTTTTAGTGCATAGCTGATTTTGACACCCCCTTTTTAGTACACTTTTTTTACTGATTTCTTTAACAAGTTCTAATACTGGATGATGATCCTGATACCCCATCCTTAAAAAAAGAACATGAGAAAGCATACAAAAAATATCAAGGACTTCTTGTTAAACAGGAGCAGCTTTTACGGGGTAGGTACATCTGATTATTTTTGCATATTATTAACTGTATGGGTAAGCATGCAGAGATCAGGAACAGAAGGGGTGAGGGTTCTCCTAATGTCAACCTTTTCTTTATTTTAAAGCAGTAGTTAACTCTGCTATATTTTCTTTTCTTTTTAGGGCTCTCAGGTGGGTTATGCCATAATGTGCCAGTGTGCACAGCATATTCGCACATTATGGCAGACTTACCTGTCAGACTATGCCCTCCAGCCCCGCAGTGTTATCAATCCAGTAGGCCCCTGATGCTTCCATCTTTGCTTTGTCTCCCTTCCAGGTTCTGTGCTTTTGGCTGTTTAAACAACTGGGCTGTGATGATGTCACTCCTGCGCATGCACATGGGAGTCACATCACCGTGCCACAGCTCTGGGGTCATAAATGTTTGCTGAGCTGTGCTTGTGTGGCTCAGTTTACAGACGACTGTTAAGCAGGAGGAAATATTTATGACGGAAAAGATGGATAGAGTCTCTTCTGTCATTAATACACTGCCTGTCACTACTGCTTTAAGGCTCCATGCATACTGGGCATTTTAATAATGCTGGTAATGTTAGATGTGTAAAGTCACGTTAAAAACATGAGTTTTTCAGCGTTTTTTTATTAGCATTTAGTGGCGTTTCTTTCGCGTTTGTGTTTTTTTTTCGCTTTTTTTTAGAGGTTCTTTTTAGTAAAAAAAATGTTCAAAAACACTAGTTTGCCATATTTTTTCATCGTTGGAGTGCTTTTACAGCTACACAACTCTAGAATCCCACTAGTTCTGGGATTTTATTACAGCCAAAAAACGCCCCTGCCAAAAAAAGTTAATTACAGTCTATGTGTGCATGGACACATAGGATAACATGCTGGGGAGTTTACTGGCTGTAGAAAAAAAACATCAAAAGCCAAAAACAGCCGCTGTAAAAACGGTTCATGAGGACTTAAGGTTAGTTTCACCTTCATACCAAATATTTAAGGATGAGTTCACAGCACCCTCCTCACTTTTTCAGTCCCTACTGAATTTATCTCCCATGCTGATATTCTTCCATCCAATCTGTACATTTTTAAAGTGATACATTCGCTATATATGGTGTCCAACAGTACACAGAACGTGGAAATGCAGTTATTTTAGTAAATATAAACTGCTAAATACCTTTTCTCATCAACAGTGTATAGAAGTCTTGTGACTTCTATCAGTGTCCAGCTGAGCACTGGTTAAAGCTTGTAGGAGGAGTTTCATTCATTCTGCTGTGACTGTCCTATGAGGCTGCATAACCCTTTACCCTCTGTCTGGACAGTGTCGATTGGCCCTGTGCTGATCACATGCACCCTCCCAAAGCAAAAAAACAAACAAACGCTAGCAATACACACTAAACTGAGCATGTGCGGGGTGACTCCTAGAACTCAATACTATCAGCAGGTGGATTAAGGGCAGTAGAAAGGGGGATCAGAGAAGACCGGATCAAACAGCCTTTTTACACAATACGGAGGATTAACCCCTTAGGTTCCACAGTGAGCATAACAGGCATGCTTTACTGCATATATAGACTGCTTTTACTGTTGTGGGTTTAGCAATGCTTTAAGCTCTGTTCATGGCCCTGTAGGCTGTGTAGTAGCATGATGCTGGCAGTAACTAGTGATCATTTGTCATTGTGGTCATGTAGCAGCGCTGACCAGTCTTTTTCTGTTCTAAGGTAAGAGACTCTGATCAGTCTGGACTGGCATGTGACTGTGCTGACCAATGAAGTTTAGACATTGTCAACATTATGCTGGTGCATAGTTGCCGTGGTTGTGTAGGGCATTTAAAAGTGTACAGATCGGTATACTGCAGACATGGGCGGTAGAAGATTATTGGCACAGCAGATAAATACAGTGGCCGGAGGAGTGGAGAGTGTGTTGGAAATTCATCTTTATTTTTATTTTTTTTGTGTGAGTGCAACCCACTCTAGATTTACCAACAGCTCTGTAGTGCAAGCTGTTACAAAACTAGATATACATTGAACTGGTGTTACTGACATCCCCGGTGACACCAATACAGTGATCAGTGCTAATAAAAAGCACTGACACTGTACTAATGGCACTAGGCAGGCGATTAAAGGGTTAACTGTGTGCTGTTTTACTATGTGGGCTGTGTGTGTGTTTCACTGTAAGCACACTGCTTTGTATGGCTCTGCTATGCTGACAGGGGAGAGATCTGTATTGTTTACATACAGGTCTCTCACCCATCGGTAATACTCGAAGATCGCTGGGTGCCAGCGGGGAATCAGTGGCCGGGACCCAGTGATTGACAGCCAAGGTCGCATGCCCCCCACCTGGAACTGCAAAATTACGTGTGTACATATACGTGATTTTGCGCACCCGTGCCACCCTGTAGCAGTATTTATACTATAGGGTGGCTCGGAAACGGTTAAATAAATACACAATATTTTTTACGCTTATGCTAAAATGGGTGTTATTTACTAAAACTGCAAAAATCTGGTGCAAACAATCAGCTTCCAGGTGTTATTGCCAAAGCCTAATTGAACAAGCTGAATTTAGAAGCTGATTGGCTTCTATGAAGAATTGCACCAGATTTTGCATTCTCCAGGTTTAGTAAATCTCCCCCAGTCTAGTGTCAACAGTAAGGCCCCTTTCACACGGGTGGACCGATCGGGTTTGCCTGTCAATTTTTAGGCAGATCATTTGGACCCTCCAGTTCTCTTCATAGAGAGGAGGATGTAAACAGACATGTGACCACTTACACCTGCCTACATCCGATCCTGTCCGCTAAAAACTGATGAATCGGGATCCATTCCTCATCCATCTAGCAGATCAGGTCAGATATCAGTCAGGTGTAAACCTACAGGTGGCCATTTACGTTTGACCACCCATAGAGGACAGCAGGCAGTGTCTGTGTCCGTATAAGCAGAGTGGACATGGACCCGTCATCCACTTGGTCAGCAGGGATCAGTGGACAGATTCCCCACTGAGCAAGCAGACTCCTAGCAGAGTCAGCCCCCATGTGAAAGGGGCCTAATACTGGTTGTGTTTAATTACCAAATGTGTACAAATTCAAAAAGAAGACAATTCGTGGGGAAAGCAAATTTCCAGTCCTCTGTTTTCTTTATGGTGAAATTTTTGTTTAAGATGTTTGTTGATATATAAGCCTTACATTTATTTATTTATTTATATTTAAATATGTAAAATATGCCTATTTACTGCATTCAGCCTAAAATACTTTTTTTTTTTTAGTTGCTCTGTATCTGTTACTTAACCTTGCTGAGGATACTCGCACTGAACTGAAGATGAGAAACAAGAATATTGTTCATATGCTAGTGAAAGCACTGGACAGAGATAATTTTGAACTTCTAATTCTTGTGGTATCATTCTTGAAGAAACTTAGTATCTTTCTGGAAAATAAAAATGACATGGTAAGTTTAGAGCAAAGCAGGATTTATTTGGTTTTATAACACGCTTCATAATTGCTTCATAAATATTAATTTTGAATAAACGTCCAGGTAAAAAGTTATTCTAAGAACCCCCTACAATCCTTTTCACTTTGTTTCCATTTTGGATATATTTATTATTAACGTGGCTGCCATGGATTAGTAACTGTTTCTTTAAGCATGTTTTTCTTATCCTAAAACTTACACTTTAAAGTGGTTGTAAACCCTTATATATTCTTAGTGAAGTTACTGGCCTCAGGCGATACACAGAGATGACAAATCCTCCTACCTGTTTATAGGCAGTCTTCCCTTCTCTACATCCATTCAAAGTGCTGAATTTATGAACCTTGCCTGGGAGTTCAGGAAAAAGTGGATGCAGAGCTGACATTACACTCTGCAGAACTCACTGAAGAGAGCTCTGAGAGCTGATCGGAGGGAGGATACACACCCCCTTCTACACAGCTCACAGGAACAGAGCCAAGGCTGTCAGTCTGCTGGAGGTCCCTCCCTGTCACCATTTTTCTTTTGATGTCAGGAAAATGTATCACAAGTGGTTCTTGCTGATCGCAAGTACTGAAACAGCAGACAGAAATGGCACTTAGTGCTCTTAATTGAGACAAGTACACACTTTAGACGGATATGCTTTCATATGCGTTCATATTTCATGTCTGAGGTTTACAACCACTGTAATCATTTAATTAGGGGGGCAGGGGCTATATTATACCAAGACAGATTACCAAGCCAAGTCAATACTGAAATTCCCAAAGAAAATAATTGATGCCTCCCCAATGTAGTCTATAACTTTGATGCAAAAGGAAAAAATACCTGACATATTATCAGTGAGGTTTCACAAAATGGATCATATCAAGAAAGAGTGGAAAATAAGGAGTCAAACCTAAATGTAGGGAAGCCTTCATAAAAAAAAAGTTAAGAAATTTGGTTCCATGTGCAATCCTACTACCCATAAGAAGGTTGAGTCTTATCCCTCCTCAGGACATAACCACAAATCCTAAAGGCTTCATATCAAAATTTGGATGGTTCCCCTTCTTACTAAAGCTGGCTATACACCATTACATTTCTTTTTTTTAACAAAAAAACCCCACACATTTCTCTATCCATACAAAGGGGGTGAATGGAAGAATCCCCCCTGCAGAGGCACCCACCGTAGTCAGAATACACTTACCAGTGCTTCTGGTTGACTGGCTGCAGCTGCTGATAAAGAAAGATTTTACATGTCCCTTCAACAGAAGTCATTCGATTTCTTTCAAGTGAGGACTGCCACAAACTGATTTACATTTTCACCAGTGTATGGCCAGGTTAAGTCACCGCTCTCTATAGTGACCACTGTGCACTTTTCTGCAGTACCAACACCCAATAAGCAGACTATACTACCAACGTGCTAATAGCTACTGGTGGTCAGTGGTGACTTTTTATACCCCTAATAGCAACCCCTTTTCTGCTGGTGATCATTGGTGGTTTTATGCCACAAAATAAAAGCCTCTTTCATGTTGTTTTTCAGAAATCCCCTCTTTGTGGTACAAGCTATGCTTTCTGAAACACGTTAATGAGGGGAAGTCCCTGGGCAGGGACAACATGGATGCATTTCTTTTTACTGACAGCTAAATACAGAGATTTGTAAAATGTATATTTTGGTGTGTGACTCCTTTTGATCAACAACAAACCTTTTAAAGTTATCCTAAAGGCTGAAGGTTTTTTTGCAATCCTTGCATGAAGGTATAAAGCTTCACTATGCAGCTCCCCTTCCCCCCCAATACTTATCTGAGCCCAATCCCAATCCAACGATGTGCACAAGAGCTGCTGCTGTCCCGGCTCCCTGCCTGCTCATTGGCTCAGAGACAGCAGCAGAAGCTATTGGCTTCTGCAGCTGTAAATCACAGCCAGTGTGGAGGGAGTGGGGGGGCAGGGCAAAGTCCCGCTGTCTGTGTCTGTGGACATAGTCAGCGGGGCTCAGCAGTGAGTCTGCACAAGTAAACCCCTTAGCAAGCGGCTTGCTAGGTGGGATACTGAAAGCGGGGTGGAGCTAGGAACACGACAGGGGACCTGACAAGAGGAGGATCGGGGCTGCTCCATGTAAGTATGACATGTTTGTTGTGTGTGTTTTTTTGTTTTTTTTTTACTTTTAAAGAAGCCTTCATCATCAATTTAAGCACACAGCTAGCGGTATATATTTCAATTGTCAACACCATTGTATTTTGATTGGAGATTGCAGATAATGGCCTACTGGACAAAATTTTAGAAACCTAAAACAATATACATTTGACGTTCACTCTGTGGGTTTTCTTTAAGATATAGCTTGTGCTTTATTTTCTGGTGATTTACTGAAGTACTAATGAGTTATAATTCGGAAACCGTTTTTGGTTGAAATGTGACTTGTTGGAACTGCTCTTCTTCCAGTACTCTTTTTCTAGTAGAAAAGTTATCATAGCAAATGTTTTATGGTACCCTTAGTGACCTCTGTATGGCATCTGGCAGTGTCAACTGTGACAATACTGTTTTGTTTTCCCAACATAAAATTTGCCTAATCCAAGGACAAGTAGCAGTATTGTGATCTGTTTTTTTTTCTTCAGGAAAACAGGGAAGGGGAGGGGAGGGGGGATTGAAAGCAGTGCAGGAAATGTAACCCGTATTTTCAAGCTAACTACTCTGGCCTCAGTGGAGTTGTACTAGCAATAATAATAGCCATCACAAAAAACAAAACAAAAAAAAACCAAGATGTATGCAGCATTGATCCAATGCTGCATCTGTTCCCCGCTGGCTCTTGTTTTAACTAAGCAATCAAAGACTGCTAATTGCTCAGTTTTTCCTTCCCTTCCAGTCTGAGCAGTGAGCCATAACTGTCAGTCACTGTCTTTCTGTCCAGCCCCCCCCCAGCGCTCACTGGAGCACTGGGCTGAGGAGGGGAGTGAGTGACAGGCTCAGTCTCCTCGCAGCACAGCTTCAAAAGTGGTGTAAACCTTTGAAATGAAAAATGAATATAGCATATCCTTCTATAATGTGTACTTGTCTCAATCCAAAGCACAGAGTATCATTTCTCTCTGCTGTCTCCTTCCTCTGCTATCTTCATAAGTCACTTCTGATAGGTAATCTCTACACCAGGCAATCTCGTGAGATGGCCCTGGCCCCTCCAGCACACAGCAGATGATTGACAGCTTCAGCTGTTTGTTTCCCTATGAGAGTGCATAGAGGTGGGTGTGTCAGCTCCCCCCTCTCAGTTCTCAGGTTACACTGGGCTCTCTTCACTATGCTGTACAGTGTGTGATGTCTGATCCCTGCCTTCTGGAGCTAAGAAAAAGCCTTTGGATATGTGATTTTTAGAAGGTTGTAGAAAAGAGAATTCTGTAGATAAACAGGTACAACTTATGTAGGGAGATTCATTTCATCTCTGTGTATCACAAGAGGCTAGTTATGGTATGTGTAGGGGTTTACAACCACTTTAAACTCTTGATTTTTTGCAGAACTACAGATCTCAGCTGTTTGTCAGTTTTAGTTAGCAAGATCCTCTTTAAACCCAAGAACAGACATTCAGAATATTGCAGCTTACCAATCCTTATTGGTGGTTACATTACAGTTGTTTAAAGGCTCAAATATTTTTTACCTTCATGAATCCTATGCATGAAAGTAAAAAATCTTCTGTGTGCAGCAGTGCTCTCAGCCCCCCCCCCCCCCCCCCCCCCCCCAAACTTACCTGAGCCCACCCTCCATCCAGCAATGGGCACGAGAGCCTTGGCTCTCCCTTCTCATTTGTTCAGACAGCAGCGGAAGCAATTGATTCCCACTACTGTCAATTTCAGCCAGTAAGCCAATGAGGAGAGAGCAGGGGCAGGGCGCAGCTGCACTCCATGTGTGAATGGACACAGAGCAGCGACTCGGGAGCGAGCCTGCTTGGGTTAAACAAATAATGTTTATGGCACACAGAAAGTAATGACTTTGTGACTTCACAGGAATTCAGGGTCAAGGGCAACTTTTCCACATCCTAATGATACAGTACTTGACTAACTTATTTTTTTATCTCGTACAAAGATTCTCACCCTCAGGCCCCATAGCAGCTGTTGTCAGCTGCTATAGCTCTAGTTACATCACTGATCACATAGGATCAGTATCCTTCTATCTGGTTTCCTTCTCAGGTTATGTGTGATAAATTGAGCTGTATGGAGCAAATATTTTCCAATTGGCACTAGCAGGCTGAAAGATTTAAAGTGCAAATATGAACTGGTTAATGCGTATTGGCAGTTCATTTTGCTTTTTTAGTAAGGTCCATCTAATAAGTTAAGGTTTTTTTTTAACATTTCTTTCTTTTTTTCTTTTCTTAGGCTGAAATGGATATTATTGAAAAACTATCAAAAATGGTGCCGTGTGAACATGAAGATTTGTTAAACATAACATTACGACTGCTTCTGAACTTATCCTTTGACACTGGCCTGAGAAATAAGATGGTGCAGGCTGGACTCCTTCCCAAACTTACTGTTCTTTTAGGTATGGTTTTTTAATGTGGTTTTTTTTTTTTTTCCAATAAGTATGTATTTAATTTTCCATTAAAAAAATGGCAACATAAGATTTCCCCATTTTAAAAAAATTCATTGTATGGATGCAAGTAACAAGCATACAGTATATGATGTCACAGGTCATTGCCAAATACAGAATTATCAGTCATTCAGTACAGCATGTATAGGGAAATAGGAAATCTAGACTAATCATAGTGGTATCATAGTGCACAGCTGGTAGTGTACCAACGTATCCATGGGTGCCATAATTCTACTTTTTGTGAATATTTCTTACCCTGCTAGAGGCTAACATTAATTCATAAGAACAATGCGTTTTAAAACAATATTAATAATTTCAGAGAACCAAGGAAACAGGTCAGATTTCCAACAATGTGATCTCCATCTCACTGCTAGAAGGATATGGGTTACAATAGTTTTGAAGGGGTAAGGAATAGTATCAATTGCAAAGTTCAATATTGCTAAACCTGGAGATACTGGAATTGAAAGTGCCGTCACTTCTGAGAGAAAATGACAAATTTTTTTCTAAAAGCTAGTCAGGCTTTTGCACGACCAAAAGATATGAAATATACCTGACTGGCCACATCCTGACTGGTGTTAATATTGTATTTAGAGATACAAAAAAGGTGGTAAATACCACCTAAGTGTGATTTTCTGTGAAAATACCCAGAGAGTAGCACCCACGGTAGCATTATAGTTGCCCTAAGAGCTACGGACCATTGAGAGCCATGTACTGAGAGCCTAACTCTCTTTCCCTCTTGTTGAAAGCAAGTATTTTAATCAAAGTAGCTTTATCTCGGAGTAAATTATAAAACAAAGTAATGCCTTTCAGGTAACATGCTCATTAGTGTAATATTGCTGTGCTTTCCAATGTAATATGGCTGCAATGTTTCGGTTACTTTTGATACATTATGATACCTAGATAAATCTGTATTCCGAATCGGGTAAATGATATTCCCTTAGGAGATCAATAACAGATTTGAGATTGCTTATTACATAAAGGTCACTGACATATTGAATGGCATTGGAAACCCAGAGGTGTAATGGTGTGTCTGGGATAAAAGAAGAAATAAAATTGGGTATAAGAAAAGAGATGAGTCTCTCTCCTAAAAGAGATAATATTTTCAGGGTCTGCCAGGCTCTCACCGAGGCCTGTATGGTTGAGGAGAGATGGGGAGGCATTTGAGTTTTCTCTGTTCAACTGAGCAACCGTGTACAGTATACAGGTCTTATCCAAGGATGGATTAAACATCTCTCTATCTTACCCAAAGAGACATTGGATATTGTCAAAACCATTCTTTTTGGGATAACTATCTTGAAGTATAATATTCATGAATATCCAACTGGCCTATCCCACCAGCCAATCTAAGCTTAACTAGTCTATGATGTGAGCTCACTTTTTTCCTTTGCCATACAAAAACAATAGTTTGTAGCCATTGAAGATATGGTTTAGTTAAAGGAACATGTAAAGTCCTAAAAAAATTGCGAGAGTACTATCATTTCAAGAATAGGTAATCTTCCTGACCAAGAAAGCTTCATGTTTAGAAAACAAGGTTAATTCTCCCTGAACTTTGTTTACCAAAGGTAATGTATATAGTTTTCTTTATACAAGCATGTACTAGAGTTTTTCAGAGTGATAACTAAATGTGGTATTCCAGTGTCTGCACAGATATATGGGTATCAAGACTGCAAAAATATTTAGCATAGGCTTCTAGTCGTGATTCTAAGGTATAAGGCTTAGAATTACTTGAATTAATTACTACAGTAGGGGATAGTATTAAACAATTGTAAGGCATCATGTATGAAAGGGTTTTTTTCTTATATAAACACTGGCAGGATTCGGTTCCCATTGGATCCAAGAGACCACTCTCTGCGAGGAGAAAGATTTTCACGCACACACCAAGCCTTGCAGACAGTGATCTAAAACTTTATTCATAGACTCTTTTTCTTATATTGTAACAATTACAAAGAAAACCATACAATAGGATTTCGCTGGATACTTGTCAAGGCTGTGAACATGAGCAATCTAGATTCTCTCAGACCTTGAAATCAGTTACAAGTAACCAACAGTTATTTTCCCATGGGACAGAAGTAATTGACTTTTAACTATATCATGGCAGAAACAGGTGCTGTTAGTACAAAGAAATAATTGGTTAGTTTTCATGCCTTGAGCAGAACTAGATTTAAAACAATACATGGGTGCAGGCCTTATAGCACATAACTGACACACAACTATATATTTAATTATCTAGACAAAATAGAATATAAGAAAAACACATTGCCCTTCAATGTACCTCAGCCAGTTAAGTACATGGGTGGGTTAACACGAGACTCGTGTAATCAGCAAAAAGGCTGATTTTATGTTTGCTTGTGTCGATTTGAAAGCCAGAAATTTTCTTGTGGTATCGAATATACTGTATGTGTTTGTTGTGTGGGTTTTTGTTTTTTTATTTATCCCTTAAAATGGTAAGTTCAAAAAACAAATTTCTCTTTGAATTAGTTGTTTGTTGGTCTACTTGATTTTGATTTGATGTTTTTTTTATTCCATGTGTTTTGTTTTGTGCAGTGGACTTGGGATAATGTATTCTTCTTATTTCTTTTTTTTCTTTTTCATTCTGGTCACCCCTAGTTAGCTGCTTAATACAAATATGATCTATATGACCCAAAGCTGTAACTATATATATATATATATATATATATATAAAGGGCAGGGCTTGACAAATCCCAGGAGCCAGGTGGCCAGTGCGCCATATAAATTACAGCTGGCGCCTGGACTTTTGAGTTTTTTTAGTTGTCATTGGTGGAGCTGTCTCCTATAAAAAGAAATCCTACTGGCTCCTGAATTGCATATAAATTGTCCACCCCTGTGTTAGGCTATTCACACAACAGGAGCAGGAAAATGGATCTTAATTAACAACAATTTACAAAAGAAGCATTTTTTTCCTCCTTTTCTTGTTTATCAATTTATAACAGACATTTATATAGTGCCAACATTTTATGCAGTTCTTTATATACTTACATTCACATCCGTCCCTGTCTTCGAGGACCTTACAATCTGAGTTCTCTATCTAAGATCTCTATCTCACATGCATGATACAACATATCTAGGAGCCAATTATTCCACCAGAAGGTCTTTGGTGTTTGGAAGAGAGAGCAAGAACCCCAGTACAGCAAGGTAGAAGTGCTAACCACCAAGCCACTGTGCTGGCCCATCTATTGGTAGCTAGTTCAGATTGCATTACACCTAAAATAAGCATGATTATTTGGATTTCTAATGTTGCTGAAGCAGCTACTAAAGTAAACTAAACTTAAAATACTTTAACGAATCAACCTCATAATGTAGCTTTTATTCTCAAATAAGCCAAAATAGATTTGTAAGAAACATAAAACGGCAGTTGAAACTAACCCCCCCCCAGTGTGTCCTTGTTGTGTATAATGATGGAAGGAGCACCTCAGAAAACTGGTGTAATAACATGAATTGTTGTTTCATGTCTGCTAGTCTTACACCACCAGGCAGAGACCAGAGAAAATTCCAATTTCACTGAAAATTATTGTTTGTACCAAGGTTTCAGTTCATCTTTTGTCTGCAAAGAATATCAGATTCCAGTCTTAAAAGTTTTTTTCCAAATACATTTAAAACACATTTTACAACAACAAAGGGCCTAGCAAGTTGGAGGATAGATTCACACTGTTGCATAGTGCATAAACACTACCCTGTGCACAAAGTTAGTTGTCTATTTGCCTGTGTAAATGAAGCCTAATAGTTTCAGTTCTATCCATCCAAATAAAAACTGTAGTTCATTTTATTATGTTGTTGTAGAGAATGAAAACTACAAGCAAATTGTCATGTGTATTCTCTACCATATAAGTATGGATGATCGTTGTAAATCCATGTTTGCCTACACAGATTGTATTCCCCAGGTATGTATAAATCTTTCTGGTCTATGTATTTTGCTTATCAAAAAAAAAAGGCAGTTTAAAATACTCAATGAGCTAGTAGTTGCATTCGCAGTGCTGTAACTGCATTATATGCGTCTCACAGGAAAACGTGTGTTTTACAGCTCTGTTCACAGAATTTAAGGTAAAATATGTTATCTCAAAATATCTTACATTATACATTACAGTTTGTGCTGAAGACTGTGCTGGACTGATTGGATCAGTCACTAGTCATAGGTGGGTGGTTGCGTGGGTGTGTAGGGAGTTGTCCCTCCAGTCAGTTGCGCCCAGTGGTGGCGGATACTAGCAGACTGGACCTGGCTGACCCTTTCTTTCCTCTCTCCTGGTGAACGCATGCCAGTGCTTCTGTACATACATACCAGCTCACAAGCGGTCTTATGATGAAGGTCATTACGTAAAATGCGTAGATTATATAGTATTCAGCTCCTATGAGCGTTATACTAATATACTTCAACTCAATATAGGGATGACTTTGTAATTATTTTTGTTATCAATATTATACAGGATTTATATAGCGCCAACAGTTTACGCAGAGCTTTACAACATAAGTTCAGACAGTACAATTTAATACAGGAGGGATCAGAGGGCCCTGCGCATTACAGCTTGCAATCTAAGAGGGAAGGTCAAGAGATACAAAAGGTAATAACTGTTGGGGATGGGCCTCTCTGAAGAGATCAGTTTTCAGGGATCGTCTAAAAGTGGACAGAGTAGGAGATGGTCAGACACATTGGGTAGGGAGTTTCAGAGAATGGAAGCGGCTCTGAAGAAGTCCTGGAGGCTAGCATGGGAGGAGGTGACAAGGGAGCTAGAGAGCAGAAGGTCTTGGAAAGAATGCTTTGGTTGGTATTTTGAGACAAGGTTAGTGATGTAGCTGGGGGCTGAGTTGTGGATGGCTTTGAAAGTTGTTGTAAGTATCTTGAATTTAATTTGTTGGGTGAGCAGAATCCAGTGGAGGGATTGGCAGAGAGGGTAGCAGACACTGAATGGTTGCTAAGGTGGATGAGCCAGGGAGCAGGATTTACAATGGACTGAAAGGGGGATAGCCTATGTAAAAGTAAGCCAGTAGGAGGGAGTTGCAGTAGTCAAGGTGGGAGATAACCAAGGAGTGAGCTAGAAGCTTTGTGGTATCCATTGGTTAGCAAGAGGTGTATCTTGGAGATGTTGCGGAGGTTGAGGCAGCAAGCTTTGGACAGTGATTTGATGTGGGGCAGAAAGGATAGTTCAGAGTCCAGGATTGCACCTAGAATCTTGGCACGCGAGGACGGCTTGATAGTAGAGTCATTGATTTTGACAGAGAAGTCAGGGGAAGAGGCACGTAGGGGAGGAAATATGAGCTTGGTTTTGGATAGATTGATTTTCAAGAAGTGGCGTGACATCCAGGCTGATATGTCTGTTAGTAGATTATTATTATTATTATTATACAGGATTTATATAGCGCCAACAGTTTGCGCAGCGCTTTACAATATAAGGGAGACAGTACAATTACAATACATTTCAGTACAGAAGGAATAGGAGGGCCCTGCTCGTGGAGCTTACAATCTAAAGGAAGGGGGAGGTGATACAAAAGGTGATAACTGCGGGGGATGATCTGGCGGAGGTGATTCAAGTACAGTTCTTTGGCGGAGGTGGGGTAGGCTTCCCTGAAGAAGTAAATTTTCAAAGATCGCCTAAAGGCAGGCAGGGTGGGGGCTGTGGTAGGGAGTTCCAGAGGATGGGAGAGGCTCTGGAGGCGAGTGTGGGAGGAGGTGATTAGGGAGCTAGAGAGGAGGATATCATGGGAGGAGCGGAGAGGGCGATTTGGGTGGTATCTGTGGATGAGGTTGGTGATGTAGCTAGGGGCAGTGTTGTGGATGGCTTTGTAAGCTGTGGTTAGTATTTTGAATTTTTATACGTTGGGTTAGTGGAAGCCAGTGGAGGGATTGGCAGAGAGGGGCAGCAGTCGTTGATCGGTTGGTAAGGTGTATGAGTCTAGCAGCAGCATTCATAATAGACTGAAGGGGGGATAGCCTGTGTAACGGTAGACCAGTGAGGAGGGAGTTGCAGTAATCGAGGCAGGATATAACCAAGGCGTGGATAAGTTGTTGTCATTGGTCAGAAAGGGGCGGATTTTGGAAATGTTCTGGAGGTTGAGGCGGCAGGATTTAGCCAGTGATTGGATGTGGGGCCAGAAGGAGAGGTCAGAGTCGTAGAGGTAGATTAGATTAGTGATGTGTGAGGAAACTGATGGACCAGGCTGCGGGGTAGAGAGTAATGCAGACCATAAACGGGTCAAAAATCGGCCGATTTTTCTGCCGAAAAAAAAAAAAATCGGCCGATTTTCGCACCGTTATTGGGTTAATTGGTCGCCCATTTTTCAGGGTTTTGGCACATTTTTTTTAACGGTGAAGTTGGAAAAAAATCGGCCGATTTTGCTGATGGCCGATTTTCCCGACAATGATGGGCAAATTGGCCGATCGGTTTACCCATAAAAAATCTGCGCTTGAGCCGTGACCTACAAGAAGAAGAAAAAGAACAATAAGAATTCCAGTCCGCTATTATATTTGACATGAAAAAGTCTTGCGGTTTCAACAATGTATCTATTTGTATCCGAATATAAAAACATCTGTATCCGAAATGGATACAAATAGATACATTGTTGCAACCGGAAGACTTTTTCATGTCAAATATAATAGCGGAGCTCTCTGCAAGGGACAGAAGTAATTAAATGCCGGCCGTAGACAGGACGAAAATCGGCCGATTTTTTTCTTTTTACCGTTGGTGGTAACGTCGGCCTATTGAACAACCGATTTTTCGTTTGTTTTTTTTAAAAAATAGATAGTTTTCGACCCGTCTATGGCCTGCAATAGATTTGGGTGTCATCAGCATAGAAATGGTATTGAAAGCCATGGGAGGCAATCAGCTGACCCAGGGAGGTGGTGTAGATTAAGAATAGGAGGGGTCCAAGAACAGAACCTTGGGGAACCCCAACAGAGAAAGGAAGAGGAGAAGAAGTAGAATTGTAAGTGACACTGAAGGTGTGATGGATAGGTATGATGAGAACCAGTAAAGGATACAGTCGCAAAGACCAAAAGAGTAGAGTTTTTCGAGGAGGAGGGAGAGGGCCACTGTGTCAAAGGCAGCAGAGAGGTCCAAGAGTAGGAGTACAGAATAGTGTCCATTGGTTTTAGCAGTTGTAGATCGTTTGTGAGTTTAAGTAGAGCAGTTTCCATGGAGTGTTGAAGGCGAAATCTGGACTGAAGGGGAACAAGAAGGTTGTTCTCAGTGAGATGATCACTCAGTTGGTTGTAGAGCAGGCGTTCAAGGAGTTTGGAGGAAAAGGGGAGTAAGGAGATGGGTCATTGGTTGTTAAGATTGGTAGGGTCTAGTGAGGGCTTTTTAAGTATGGGGGGTGACTAGTGCATGTTTTAGAGAGTTAGGGAAGATGCTGTAAAAGAGGTAGTGATGGAAGGTGGGAGTTAGAGTGTGTAGGATAGAGCCATAGGGTGACGGTAGCATTTGCAACTGAACAGGGTCCAGAGAGCAGGTGGTTAGGTGGGCATTAGAAAAAATTTTAGCAACCTCGTTTATAGTAGTGGGGTTGAATGTGGGAAGTAGTGATTATATCTGTGGACATGGAGTGTTAATTGGAGGAGGTATCTGCGCATCGATGATCTCCTCACGAATTATATCAATCTTCTTTTTGAAGTGATTGGCGATCTGGGCAGTGAGTGAGTTAGTGGGTGGATGCAGTGGAGGATGAAGAAGAGAGTTGAAGGTAGAAAAGAGTTGACTGTGATTGGATGAGAAGGTGCTAATAAGAATAATGAAATAGGCCTGCTTGGCAGTGAGGCAGAAATAGTATTTCTGGAAGACAGGTTTATATAGGTTGAAGTCTTCCTGAGACTTAATATTACGCCACAGATGCTCAAGAGTTTAGCTACATTTTTTGAGACTTCTGGTGTCATCTGTTTGCCAAGCGAGGGGGAGGGGCGAGCTTCTCTAGGGAGGATGACGGTGAGGTGTTTTAGACCGAAGTGGCTAGATTGGGGCAGGACAGGGATGAGATTTTGTCATGCAGGTGGTCAGGAGCAGAGAAGGGTTGAGGTGGCGAAGATTCCTATGGGTAACTGATAGGTGGTTGAAGGGAGAGGAGGTGGAAGACAGGGAGAGAGTGAAACTAATAAGGTGGTGATCAGGGAGCGGGAGAGGATTGTTGGAGGGGTTGCATGGTGTGCATAGATAGGAGAATACAAGGTGAAGGTTGTTGCCATCGCAGTGAGTAGAAGCTTGTATCCATTGCTTCAGGTCAAAAGAGGAGGATAGACTAAGCAGCTTAGAAGTAGCAGGAGTTTTGACATTAACAGGAATGTTAAAGTCACCGAGAATGATTGTAGGGATTTCAGAAGAGAGAAAGTAGGGTAGCCAGGCAGAGAAGTCATCAAGAAAGGTTCATACTGGGTCCAGGGGGCTGGTAGATCACAGCAGTTCTTAGAGAAATGGGAGAAAATAGACGAATACAGTGTGCCTCAAAAGAGGAGAACATAAGAGAGGGTGGTGGATGAAGTACTTGATAGGTGCTCTGTGGGGCTAGGAGGAATCCTACTCGACCTCCCTTCCGTCTACAGGGTCTGAGGGAGTGAGTCCAGAGAAGGCCACCATGGGAGAGGGAATCAGTGTGATTCATGAAGGCAGGTTTTGGTAATGTCAAGAAGGTTAACCCTTTCACTTCCAGAGCCGTTTTTGCATTTTTTGCACACGTTTAAAAAATAATTTTGGGCCTGAAGATTACACAAAAACCCCAAACATTATATATGTTCTGAAAGCAAACACCCTAGAGAATAAAATGGAGGTAGTTCCTATTTTTTATGTCACACAATATTATTGCAAAGGTCTAGGAAACAAGAAAAATTTCAGTAAAAATCACACCAAAGTGAATTTTAGGGCAAACAAACGCAAAAAATTACCCAGATTTTTGGTAAAATATA